TTACAAGGAAGAGTCGAAACTACTGAGAAACTAAAGGGAGATGACAGCATTTAATTGGAAAGATACTCCTGCTAGAAAAAACATCCTTAGGAAGGGGCAAGATATTTTTCTAGGCACAGCAGCAGCACCAAAAATGACAAGTTCCATGGTGGCTTTGACATACTACAGTGCCTTGCCATCAACCAGGATGCCTTTCTTATTTGAAACACTTGTGATTCACCTTTTCCTACAACAAGAGAGTGTGCAGTTCACAGACATGCTGCAGGGAAGCCAAGGGAACTCCACTGGAAGTGCTGGACCAGCAAGGAAGAGCAAAGCCATCTGAGTCAGTGGAAGAACAAAGCAGGAAGTTGAGAAAAGAAAGCTGATGAAAAAAAGAGGAGAGAAAGAATCCAGGGCCCAGGCAAGTAAAAGAACAAATTCAGGGAATTCTGCCCTCCCATTATGTATCCCTTTTTGGCACAGCTTGTCACGTGTTTCTGGCTCAAACCAGCAGAGCACACTGCAGACATAGAATACTTTACAGCATTGCCGGTGGCTGGGACACACTCTGTGTGCCACCTTGACCACTTTTGCTGTGAGAAGTAGGAAGGGGTACAAAAGTGTAAGGTGTCCTATTTGTAAGATGTCAGGAGAGAGTTGATTACCATACTGGGATGGAGATGGGACAGTTTTAGAGTGGAAATCAGGAGGGCCGTGTGCACAGCCTTACATGGAGAGAGCAGGTTATTTCTTTGACTGTTTTCTACTGGCATTATTCTAGGGCTATAATATCTAGAATAATGATGCTAGAATAATGTATTCTGGGTCTTAAGATGTATTATACCTTCCTAAACATATAACTGCCAAGCATCTTCTAAGAGTAACTCTCCAACTATGATTACAATCTTTATTTGAATGGAAATATTGAATCACACAGGATGGGGATTTCATTAGCATTTCATGGAACATTTGATTTTTTTTTCCTGGCATAATTGTTGTTTTTCTTTTATCCTGTTCATAAAATTTCCCCTTTTTATTCAAATCACTTAAGCATGCAAATTGTGCATCCTGGCTTGATGATTTTCTTACCAGACTTCTAGAAAAACAACCTAAACTTCTGAGAGTATGAATGAGATTCATCTTCCTTAGGAAGCATCATGATTTTCTGAGTGAACTCTCTTAAGGCTCACAGTGTGCTGAACTTTTTAGAAAGCATAAAGCTAAAGCCTACCTTCCTGGCCATTAAAAAAAAGGCAAATGGACCAGTTATAAATGGAAAAGCCCTACCAAACCAAACCAAACAATCCATTAAAAAAAGCCCCTTGGCTACCCGCCCCCCCCAGAGTTGAATGGAAACAGAGAACCTAGTCAGTCAGTAGAAGAGCATTCCAAGATCTGTGAGGTCAGGGAAAAAGGATGATGCTAACCATTGCATGCCCTCTCTTGCTTCAGACCGGGACATTTCCTTGAGTAGAGAGTAGCCACTGCATCTCACCCCAATCTCTTACCATTCTGCAATGCAGAGAAACTCAGGTTGATCCTGAAGAGCCCTAGCTTTGGGATAGGATGCCTAGCCCTCCAGATTTCCATTCTGGGTCAAGGAGAGCAAAGAGAAAAGGTATAGACTCCTCTTCTTCCCTTCTTCCTTCTCTCTATTTTAGAGGAGCTTTTAAGATATTCTACACCTCAGCATCCTAGAACTTCGGGAAGGGTCATTAGAGGCCATCCTGTCTAAGTACCACATTCTACAGAGAAGGAAACAGAGGCTCAAAGAGGGTGCTATGGTTGTTCTTTTGGGGACAAACCATGGGGTTCCTGTGCAGAAGGCTTGGTCCCTGATGTGGAATGTGGTGAAACCTTTAAGAGGAGGGGCCTGGTGAGAGTGATTAGGTCATTGGGGGTGCTGTCCTCAGAAGGGTTTAATATAATTCTCATGGCATCCCAGTTAGTTACCCCAATAGTGGGTTGTTATTAAGGAGACTTTCTAGGCTGTCCAGCTTCTGTCTCACTATGTGATTTCTTCCACAAATGCCATTGTGATGCCATCTGCCATCAGGCCCTTGTGGAGGCCAAGCAAAGTCTGGTGCCATGCTCTTGAGCCTCCACAATTATTACTAAATAAACTTGTTTTTTAAAAAATAAAGTTTCCAGTTTCAGGAATTTTGTTATAGCAATGAAAGATGGACTAAGACAGATAGTGAGTGGTCAAAGGGCACTAACTAATTCATGTCGAACCCAGGACTAGAACTGATAATATAACCATGTCACTGCTCTTGAATCTTTCCCTAGTGATGATGGCGAAAAGGCCACCCCTTGCTTTTTGAAGAGTGACTGGTGTTCTCTGTAGGCAGCTTTCATACTAGTTCCTAGTGATGAAACCCCAGCTGCCAAAAATAGGTGCCAATGCCAATGCTACCCCAATGAGGCTCCTGGGAAGCCTGGCACACACAGGTGGGGGAACCCCCATGTGGATGCTGACTGAGAACCATTCACACTGATGCTCAGCTCCCACCCAGGAATCAGGAGTCATTCAGAAAGAAGCCATTCCACTGAGAGGTTGACAGTGACAGCAGAGTGACAGTAAGATGCAAGAACTGCTTACAGACCAACAAATGGGGTCTGGAGCCCTACAGCCGGAGGGCAGTCCTCAACCCTGCTGGTCACACAGAGGGCATATACCCAGTCACCATGACCGTGCCAGGACCCAGAGGACAAATAACAAACTCACTACCCTTCTTTCCACTCACTCCCTTCAGGGTGATCAGCAAGTGTGTGGGGAAGCATTATTTTAACAATCTACTTGGAACATGCTTTTTCTTCTTGTAGCATGGGCAAACCCACGCCGTAAATGCTAGTCCTCAGACGTGCTAAGGTTTTCTCCTTTTGAGAACATGCTGTTACCTCTCACTGGCTGTTCAGGGTAGGGTTTCTCCTGCCTGTGGGCAGGGCCAGGATTTGTGCTCCTGGCTGGGAGCAGAGGCAGCCTGCTAAAGCAGGGACAGCCTGGGGCGCACCAGTATCCACTCTTTTTCCTTACTACTGGAAATGTATTGGTGGTAGCAATACATCAAAGAAAACAACACTATCCAGATCCCCTTCTAACTAAGGATAAACACATGACCAGGATTTGACTCAAAGGGATGAGAGAAATCACTGGGTAGTGTCTTTGAGAAAACTCCCAAAAAGTGGTGTGACTCAGCTGTCAAGTACCTTCTGACCTTCCGTTTTCTTTATCTCTGCTGAGTATAAGGATGTGATGGTTGCAATGGAGGCAGCCATATTGTAACTCTGAGGCAGCCCTGGGATATGGAAACCAAAAGCTGCGAATGATGTAGAGAATAACTGAAGAGCTTCTATACCAGACCTACACTGCGTCTTCTGGACTTTTTTTTTTTTAATGATAGAGGGAAACAAATTCCTTTGTGTTTAACCATTATTTTTCTTTATTATTTGTAGCGAAACATATTTCCTAACTGAAACACACACCCGTACACAACACACACTCACAAGAGGCACCATCACTGAAGAGTGGAGGCAGGAGCCACAGCGGTCAAACACTTAAGGTGAAAAGGAAGAGCAGTAACGCTTGGTATTGATCCCAGCTGCGCTGAGACATTCCAACCCAGAGACTGCAATTAAAATAACATAGAGGAAAACATCCCAAACCAAATTACCAGTTTTGCTGCCTACAGAGGTGCTGGGTTGTGACCCAGAGGACTGATTTGAGAGCTACAAATGGAGTAAGGGCTTCGGGTATGTATTTTACAAAAATCATTCTTAATAAATGTAGCCTCTGGGCCAAACTGAGTGCAGTGAGAATGGAGAGAGAGAGAGGAGCTGGCTGTGGTTTTAGGAACGCAACTGCTTCAGGAAAGGAGTCCAAGCCACTGGAGAATTATTCTCATGATTACTAACAGCTCGTAATAACGAAGGGGCAATGTGAGGCCTCCGGTTGGCTGAAGTGATCAGAAATTGCTCATTGCAGTAGGACTAATAACTAAATATAATTTAACGCTAAATTACAATTCTAGACATCCAGCTTCCTCCACAGTCCCTTATGGCAAAGGAAAACCAAGCCAGAACATCAATAAATAGAATAATCCAATTAAGTATCTCTCCATTTGGGAACTATTCAGAATTGAGTGTTTAACACGATAGTGAGACAGGGCAGAACAATTCAGTATTTACTAACTCAAGAAAATCAGGGCTCTTATAATAAGACAGTTAGTTCTTGTTATTTTAAAATGTGTTCAACCGATCTGAATGGCTTGATGTAGTGATTTTAATCGCTATAAATTTTTTCTAGACATGAGGCATCATTTCTCATGAATATATTTACTTGTATTTTAATATTAAATATAAGCATCTTTTTATGTTCAGAATGTCTTTATCAACATACTGCTAATCATTTAACTACAAATAATGATCAACTATAAGACAGGAATTAAAACAGAGGAAGATATCTACATTCCTGTCAGCTACATTTAGATGGAAAGCTGATAGCTAAATCACCTAATTATAGTATACATTGTACACTTGACACTGTTAACACCCTTTATAGATTCTGTCAGATATGGACTTCCCTCCATGCAGAAAGGGGAAGATATTTTGTTTGCAGAAGCAACAATACAGGGAAGGAATCTGCTAAGGGCTGAGTTGGAGCAAGCCCACAAAGGCAGCAACTAGGCTCTGAGCTTTCTGTGACCTGAAAGTAGTGGGGACTGGAGAGATGTCAGTTCCATGAGTGAATTAGTGGAGTTCCTGGAGGTGTTTCTATGAGTGACTATGAACAGCTGATAAAGCCAGCTGCTCATCCTTCAGGCTGAATACATCCAGGGGAAGGTAAGGCACATCAGGTACTGAAGTCCAAGTATAATCCAGCCCAGAGTTACAGAGCTTTCAAATCACACTCTTTGGGAAGGATCCTTTGGAGAGTCCTACTTACTATGAAAGCCCCAAGCACTGATCCCTGGAGGGACCTTTAAGACAGGGTTGAAGGACATTTGAAAGATACTTACTGCTGGTGGAGGACAAGTGGCTGTAGTCGGACCTGAAACACAAGACCTCAGTGTCAGTAGGAGTATACAGCAGTTTTCTTTATCCAAATAATTCTGTCAAGCTGGAAGGTTAGTGAGTGATAAGTTGTACTTAACTGGTAAAGAAGTACCAACAATTAGAAACTACAGGAGTCTTTGCTCCCATTTCCTGTATGCGAAACAGGAAATGTTTCTCTCTCTTTTTCTCCTCCTTCCCACCTTATCTTTACTTTATCCTGTTACACTAAAATAAATCCTTGCTAAAACTGTCAAAAAAAAAAAAGAAACTATAGACTTGAGGCTCAATTTGTGCAAACTAAAGTTATATTTGAATTTGAAAGCAAAACTTCAAAGGCATATGGGTTCTGAAAATCCTCCCTCTGCCCTGCCCTGCCTGATGGCATTTGGAGTTGTCTAAATTTGCTGGCAAATTTTTGAGTGGTTGTTTACTTTTCAGGGGAAAAAGCCCCAAGTTTTCAGTAGATTCACAACTCCCCAAAAGGTAAAGCCTTGACAATAAATACCCTTCCATGTTCATTCCACACCACAGGGCAAAGTTCTGTTTTTTAAAAATAGTTTTATTATATTTTTAATTAGTATTCATTAATAATATGAAAAAGTTTCATTGTGGTAATTCCATACGTGGGTACAGGGTACCTTGAAGGAGTTCACCCTCTCCATTACATTCCCATTCCTCCCTCCTTCCACCCTGTTTTTTCAAACAGTGTTTGGTGGCTTTCATTATGCTGTTTTCATATATACATATATAGTATATTTTGATCCCCTTCACCCCTCAGTACCCTTTCCTCTCCCCCTCACCCCTCTGGTTGATCCCCAATACCATCCCCCTTTCACATTCATGTACCATCACCATCATCATTTTAGGTCTAGATTCCATAACTGAGTGAGAACTGTGATACCTGGCTTTTTGAGCTTGGCTTATCTCATTCAACATGATGACCTCAGTTCCATCCATTTTCCTGCAAATGATATAATTCCATTTTTCCTTATGGCTGAGTAAAATTCCATGGCACACATCTCTCTCTCTCTGTAAGTATATATATATATATACACACAGACACACAGAGTTACAATAAACATGGGTGTGCAGGTATCTCTCTCACATGTTGATTTACACTCCTTCGGATATATGCCCAAGAGTGGTATGGCAGGGTCATAGGTAAGTCTATTTTTAGTTTTTTGAGGAAACTCTATACTGATTTTCACAGTGGTTGCACCAGCTGACAGTCCCACCAACAGTGTATGAGAATACCTCTTCCCCTTGAATCCTCACTAGCATTTGTTGTTTGTTTTCTTGATGATTGCCAATCTGACTGGGGTGAGATGGAATCTTGATGTGTTTGTATTTGCATTTCCTTTATGCCTAAGGATGTTGAACATTGCTTTATGTATTTATGAGCTATTTGAGTTTCTTCTGAGAACTTTCAAATCACTTGCCCAATAATTGGATTATTTGTTCTTTTGCTGTTTAGTTTTTTGAAGTCTTTGTATAGTCTGGATATTAGTTCTTTATCTATTGAATAGCTGGTAAAGATTCTCTCCCATTCTGTGGGTTGTCCCTTGATTCTAGTAATTGTTTCTTTTGATGTGCAGAAAAATTTTAATTTGAGACAGTCCCATTTGACCATTCTTGCTCGTTTGCTGGGCACTGCTTTACTGCTGTGAGGAGTGAGAGAGACTCTCCATCCTCAAAGTGTCCACATTCCAGGTCTGGTTGAGTAGCAGGAAACCCAAAGACATCGGGAAACTTCAACTGGTTTTAGTTCCACTCAGAAGAAATCCTGCTCGCTAGGACGGTAACAGGATGTGGGCTATGACAAGGAAGGGTTAGGGCTTTGGTGAAGTGACCCAGTAGGCTCTATGTGGAACTTCAGTGGCTGGCACTCATTGCTATGAGGATGGGACTCCAGCCAAGATCTGTTCTGCTTCATGTCTGCTATTCTTGCCCTTCATGTGTGGCTGTTAAGGCTTCGCTTTCTGGAAGGGAATTGGATGTAGAAGCTATTTATTTTCTCCCCCTAGTGTCCTAAAGTCATTCCCAGTAGGAAATTAATCACTTGGGCACATAGGGATTTATTCTGTCCTGGTAGTTAGGGAACATAGTTATGCAAATAAACTACTTAATTATGTTTAATTTTATGGATATATACTCCTTTTATTTCCTTATTCTCACATTGCCTTTCTTGAGTCATCCAATTTTCACTCCACTGAGCTTCTTACCACATTAAAAAAGTATGTACAAAACTTAAATATAAGAAGCATGCTTCTTATTAAAATAGCCTCCAGCATACAGACCAAATGATACAGTGATTTATTGGTTGAGGAACAAAATGGAGGAAAGCAGTACACAGTTCTCTCTTTTTCAAATGAAATATTTTCATAGTCATAAAGCCATTAAATTTTAAAACTGGAAAGAATAACAACTATGAACATTTGCATATCCTTTTATATGTTACAAACTGTATTTGCATATATCTAATCTAATTTTTTTTATTAAATGGGAAGCAAAGTGATACTATTTGTAAGGAGACCAGGAGGTGAGGAATGGGAAGGGTTTGGACTCAATGAGAAGGGTGGGTGGCAAGGAATGAATTAGAAAGTATGATGGATTGCTAGGGCATGGGGCCACCCCAGCTAAGAGGCATGAACACATCATGAATCAGTAATGTTCTGAAACCCAGGGCTTCAGCACCCAGCCACTAGCATGTTAAATTCTTTCTGGAACTAGGCAGAACATAAACTTTACGACAACACTTAGAAATGGAACTATATATAAATGCAGCAAATGCCCAACAAACACCCACTGTGGTAGATGTGACAGCAATACAATTCTGTTACAATATGATCATCTGAAGACGGCCAGACTTTAAAGAAACTGTATGACTCTCCAAATACAACATATAATGTGCAATATTAGTAGTTCTCTTGTATTAAAAAATGTGTCAGCCTTTTCAGCTAGGATTTTCCAAATACTCCTGAAGCAGATGGGATTCACATATGCAGACGTTTTAAAGATCTGCACACAGATGGATATGTATGCAGAGTGAAATTTACATTGGAAACGTCATTCAAGAATCCTGAATTGCAATGGTAGTATTTTAGCATAGGGGTTAGCATAACTAATGCCCTTCCATAAGTCCCCTCAAATCTCTCGAGGCTGGGTTAGGCCTGCCAACTGGTCAGTCTTCAAAAGTCATTCTTGTCTGCTCCAATTCCTTCTCCATATAGCAGCACAATCTTTGCAAAGCACAAATCTGATCATGTCTCTCTCTGGCTGAAATTCAAGCTCACTAGTTAAAACACAAACCCTTCTCTCTATGACTGATGGTCTCTGCCCAGCTCTGCAGCCCAGCCTCCACCTCTGTCTACCACTGAAACAGAAACCAAACAGAAACATGAGTCACCTAAAATCTCAAGTTGCTCTCCAGCCTTTGGTCCTAAGTTTATGTAATTTGTACACAGTTGCCTTCATGATGGAGATACAGGTTTGAACTGCTCTTTTCAGTTAACATCATTCCAACACCTGCTCCACAACTCTATAATTATCATTTTAGATACAGTGGTGTACTACAATTTATTCAGCCATTTCCCTTCTGTTGGTTATGTGATTGTACTTGATGGCTCACTTTTACAAAGCACATGGGAATGAAATATTTACAAATAAAGTTTTATATTTACTTTCTTGTCCTTAGAAAAATTAGCACGAGTGGGAATTACAGGCTGGGTAGAGGCATGAACTCTTTTATACCTCATAAAATATATTCCAAATCACCCCAAAAGGTTGTTTACTGGAAACATTACCAGTGAAAGACAAACTGTAAAGTTTAAAACAATCTTGTGCATAAATAGATTCAAATAATTTCCGAGAACAACCAGATATCTGACCAGGGTTTTCTGGAGGTATTTGTACTCTCCAGCTTTTTTAGAGTGAGAAGGAACAAGCAGGTGGGCACCTGCTTTGAGATTTCTGATTACTTGCCTCACATCAAAAGAATTGACCTGGGTGACTATTCATATGACATTCAAGTCTGCCAAAATGAAGCATGAAAGGAAAGGTGAATTTATGAGGTTTTAGAATGCAAAACTTTTGACACATGATACAGATGAGCAGAAAAATAAAGGATTATAGGTTCTCACATACCTCACACACACACATACACACACACACACATATATATATATTCCCAACTATTATATTTACTTAATTACCTGTGCAAAGAATAAAAAGTAAGATATGGTTCTTTGACTCTATTTTTGCTATAATTATATATATAAGAACTATATATAAAGTCATCCTATAAGATATTGTACCACTGTTAACAGTCTCCTTTGCCTATTTATACATATATTTCATTTTATAAAACAATTATCTTCCTAAATATCTCCTAAATTCTCTTCCAGGAAATCACGGCATAAGAACAGATCTTGGCATTTCTGTATAACTGGTCTTGATGTTTCTGCAAAACATCAGCCCAATGCATCATGGCCTTCATCTGTTAACTGTCAGTGCTCTGCGTTAAATGCTGTGGTAATTTAGAGTTTAACTGGCTCCACTTTGATCCCAAGTTAATAGAGTGATAACAGACTATCATATCTTCTATGTGAGACTTCCCCTTTCCCCCTGAAAAAAAAAACAAACCCTATCCTCTTTTAAAATTTATTTCACCTACCCACCTGCTCAAACTCTCAGCCCATGAACCACAACCCACAATGAAGAATGGTTGGGAGGTCACCCAAAGATATAAGGCATGGTGTGACCCTGACATGGGTCAGAAGCTCAGCAACAGCTGACACAGAAGCCCGTTAATGCCAGACTAACTGTATGAAAATGATCCATCAGGAACAGTCACATGTAAGAAAGTGGCTTAGAGGCCAAATCTCAGAGAACATAATGAAAGTCATTAGAAAGCTTTGGCTTTTATTTGGACTCACAAGGAGCTGCCTGGCCCTCTATTAATAAGGGCTCTGTTTCTTAAGCTCGTTACCACTGTCAGCAGCTGACTTGCCAGTTTCTTCCAACAGAAAGTACACCAAAGCACAACACTTGCTTTCAAGTGGTTTGGGAAAATGGGAGTTTCAAAATGACATCCATTGGCACCAAAGAATACCAGTTTGCTTTTAATCTTGGTCTGTACTCGTGGGTCAGACAGCAAAGGCAGCATTTCAAGCAAAAGGAAAAGCAGAAAACAAAGGGTAATTAATACAGATCAAATGGCTCCTAGAAAGGCAAAGCCACAAGGTGGAAGCACGCCAGGGACCCAGGCGTCGATTCAGGCCACCAATGAGCTGTGTATCCTTCTATAAAAAAAAAAAAGATTATAATACTGAAACACACCCTGCATGTGCAGGATGGTCTCATGATGATCCAATTGCTGAAGGTATCTCCTATGATGGGTTTAAGGAACACATGGTTTTGAGGTCACCTTGTTTATCGCAGAAAACTCTATGTTTAGTATTTGAAGTGTTCTTTGATGGACGTAATAAAGGACGGAGGGTTTTATGCCAGGCACTGTAGAGTCAAAAAGACTCTAGGAGGGAGGTCTTATCTTCATCCCCATTGTACAAAGTGAGAAACTGAGACAGAGAGAGATTAAGAAACCAGCTTACGGTTCCACAATTCCTAAGCAAAGGAGACAGGATTTGAATGGCTGGCTCTCTTGATTGTAACTTCCAAAGGGACCAGTGCAGTCTTCCACTGCCAGTGGAACCCACAAAGTTTCTCAGAACGGTCTCTTCAATCTGACAAATAATAGGATTGAAAATCAGCTTACACAGTACTCTAAAGTCCTTTCCTCCTCTGTTTTGCTCATACCCACCTAACAATAGTCTTCCCACCCCCAGTCCTTCATGAACTCAACTATTACGCCCGCTCCCTGGCTTTCTCTGCCTGACCTGATATTGTCCACTGCAAGAAAATAAATAGCAAGGTAGACTCTGGCACCATAAGCTATAATCACTCATCTCAACTGGCTCCTATTTCACACTGCTATAACAACTATCTCAAGTCTCTATTCTTCTGTGTGTGTGTGTGTGTGTGTGTGTGTGGCTGCATCTACACTCTTCTTCCCTTCCGTCCCACTAGTCATAAGAGAGAAGGGCCCCCTCCTATCCAAAGCCAATCCATCCTCAAGTGATCTGAAGTCCATCTACCTCCACTTCTTCCGAAAGCTGACACTATGCAGGATCTGCTTTTCTCCTGCATCTTTATCCTTTCTGTTTTGATAGAACCCTTTCTATCACAGTGATTGTCCACTTGCAGCCTGTACCAGGAAATCCTTCCCTTCCCTTCCTCTCCCCTCTGTTCACTGCCTCTCCATGCCCCTCTTTCCCAGACAAATGGCTCTAGCTGTCACCTCTTCCTCATCTTCTGGAGCCACTCTAATCTGCCTTCTGCCTCCATGGCTCCACTGTCAGATATTCACATTTGTCTCCAGCAATAAAAAGACTTCACAGTGAGAACTTTTCTCAAAAAACAAGCTGGGAGTGATAGCGCATGCCTGTGATCCCAGCTACATGGAAGGTGAAAGTGGAGGATGAAGGCCCAAGGCCCACCTGGGCAAAAGCAAGAAAGCCTATCTGAAAATTAAAGATCTGGGGGCATGGCGTAAGTGGTAGAGCTTTTGTCTAGCAAACAGAAAGCCGTGAGTTCAAACCCAGTGTCACCAAAACAAAAGACACTTCACATTCCTCACTCAGTTTCTCAGTAGCACAGCAGATCTCCCCTTCCTTTCTGCAAAACTCAAAATTTCTTTGGCTTCTTGGATATCCCTTTATTCCTTCTTTTATTCATGCTGCCGCTCTCAAGCTTCTGAATCATCTCCTTGACCTGCCATTTACATGAGGTGCTGTCTTAGAGGCTGGACTTAGATTGTTGTACTGAGTTACGCCTGGAGTCAATGAGCCAATGAAACATGCAACACACTGGGGCTTAGAACAGTAGGCGGCGCTGGGTAAATGTAAGTGTTCAGTGTGACTTTCAGTTCATGTCATGTCTGCTGGGGCTTCAGGTGCCATGTTTAAGTAGACAGTTGCAAAGGCCACGTGCCATACGCACCACTTCGCTGAGCTATCTTTCCTTGGATATCTCTCATGACCTCAGGAATGTGCTCACAATGAAACACCGAATACTCTGCCCACACATGATATAGTAGGGATCAAAGTCTACTTTGAAAATCTGATAGAAAATAAGCTCTCTTCTCATAAAAACTCATGAAGTGCATTCTTTTGCATATGGCTTGAAGCAATTCATGGACTAAACTAAGGATCACCATCTTAATGGATGGGTCACTTGAGCTGGACCTTGAAAGAAAGGTAGAATTTCACTCAGTGGACAGCAGGCTAGGTAGAAAGGGCAGAGCTGGCATAGGGCAGCCAGACAAAGGCAAGGTAGTGGAAGAAGATGCCAGATGTGGCCAGGTGCTGGGGGCAGTGAGCACTTGTGACCAGAGAGAGAGGAGGGGCTCCATAGCATTGGGGCTTACAGGCCACATTCAATTCTTGCACTGAATAAATGACAGAACCATATAAGTTTGGGAGGGAGAGAGACACATTTAGATTTATGCTTTAAAATAATAATGATAGCAAACATTTATTGTGTTTTCTATGTGCTTTACACTCAACCTCCACAGGTTGATAGATGAAAGTGGAATAGGGGAAGAGGGCAGGCAAAGCTCCAGAAAAGTAAACAAACTCAGGATAGCTTTTCTGAGAATTAAACTAAAATTCAAGGGTATAAAAATACTCAGCAAATACAAGACTAACGAACATGCACTGAAACTATTTTATTTAAATTCATGACACTTAACCCAGCTGAAGGATGTAAGGGATGCAATAAGAATTCTTTAAACAATTCTGTCCTGTCACAGCTACAATATTCTAGGGACAGGCAGAAAACAGCTCTGGTGTCAGCCTGCTCAGTGGGCCTGGCCCCTCCCAGGAGTCCTCGTAGCTGTCATGCTGATGCCTGTTTTCTGATGCCCCTCCTCTCCATCCCCAGGTCAGGGCTTCTTTTCTTGAAAAAATAGCTCTTTTAGGTGAGCTCTGCAAATTGAAAATGAATGGACTAGTGCACAGTTTATTTATCCCAGCTGTAAAGGAGATAGTTAATTGGGCTTTGTTTCTTCTAATCATAGTCCAGCTAACCAGAGGCAAAAAAAAAAAAAAAAAAAAAAAAGCCAAGGATCTAATAAATGCTCTTAGTGTAGCTCAGTGGGAGTGTTTGTCTAGCGTACATGAAGACCTGGGTTTCATCCTCAGCACCACAAAATAAATAAAGTTTCTAATTGCAAGAAAAAGCAAGGGAGGAAAAGAAAGAGCATAGAATCAGGTTACTCCATAATAATCCCAAATTTGGGTAACAGAGAAAGCCCATTTCAGGGTAAATAAGAACTCCCAGATTTGGGCTAGGAGTGGGGGTGAAGGCTGCAAGGAAGGGTGCGGCTGTGAGGCAGGAAGAGCTGTGTGCTGTGTGCGGGATGCCTTTCTGTAGGTCAGGTCAGAACCCTGGGTCCATGCTGGGTCTGCAATCCCTTCCTTCCCTCCCAAGGTTGTCAATCCCTGAGATTAGTTTGAAAGAATGAGGTGTTTCTATAGTCTGGGTAGTCACTGCCCTCTTCCATGGTTCCTCCAGATAGGAAAAGACACCCTTTCCTCCCGGGCAGGACCTGCATCCTGGATGTGCCGCTGACTCTGCACAGGAAAATCCTTTAGAGATAGGGCTGGGTGTAAGTCTTTACAAGGACATTCATCTCAGAAAAGACTTTCGGTCTTTTGTCCCACTCAGGAAAACAATGTGTTGGGAGAGGACTAATTAGTCTCCAAAGGTTTGAGATAATTGAGTCTGCTGAAGCTCACAGGACTTTTCTTTAAACAAGCGGGGCCAGATCACAGCACCATCTCCATTCCGCGGGTACCCAACGCAAGCGGAGCAGGGCAGGTGCGCCAAGAGACCAGGAAGTTGGGCAGGGACTGGCAGGCGGCTCAGCAGACTAGGATAGTCTCACAATAAAGTGGGAAATGCCATCCTTTTAGCCAACTTTTGACAGACTTTTTGGTGCGGGCGTGCCACCCTCGGTTCTGCTGTCCTCCGTCTCTGGGGATGCACCCCAGGGGTTCCGGAGCTACAGGAGAAAAGTCCCCCCGCGCGCGGAGGAGATGTGGGGGGTGTTCCGAAACAAGTGTACGAGCATCTCTGCTCTGGTGTCCCGGTGATGCTAAGGGGACACCGCACGGGCCTGGCACTCACGTGATGACGGAAGGCAAGAGGGGCTGGGTGGGTCTGCACCGAATCTCAGCTTCCTCCACTTTCCTCCCTCGGGGTGGGGCCGGCCTTCGGCCACGGATCACGCAGCTGTGCCCGAGCCCCTCAGGGTTCCCGGGATCCAGGTAGGGGGAACCCCGACATCCTGGTCCCACTATCGCGGCTCGGGCTCCGCTATGGGGTGAGAAGCAGCTGCGCAACTCAGAGCGCCCCCGCCCGCGCCCGGCCCAGCCCGGCTCACCCTCCGGTCTCGGCGCCCGAGTCCACGCAGTCCTCCTCTTCGCCGCCTGCGTTGATCTTCGGGTCCATGGTGCGCATCCGGCCCGCGCTCTGCACACGGGCGTCGGTGGGGATCCGGGGCGCGCTCCCTCGGGGCCGCCCAGTCCAGCCCAGCCGGCTTGAGCTTGAAACGGCCCGGCACTCACCCAGTGTCCCGCAGCTCCGGCTACCGCAAACAACTCCGGCGCCCGAGGCCGGTCCTTTGCCGCGCCCTCTCCTGGCCGCGCCCAGCCGGGCACCGGGGACAGCGCCCGCCCCGCCTCTCGCCGCTCCGCCCGGCAAGCGTAGGCGCGCCGGAGTGCGCGTGTGCATGAGGGCATCGCGCGCGCGCGCGGGGGTGCTACCGGGCGAGTGTATGCACGAGGATGCGCGCTTGTGCACGGGATGTGCGCGTGTGCACGAGCTCGCGTGAGCCTTCGTTTCGCTTGCTTATGCACGGTGTGTGAGCATGAGTGGGGGAGATGTGTGAGGTCGCGTGTATATGGTGTGCAATGGGTGTGGTGTGTTTTCTGGTGCACTAGCCTAAGGGGTGTGCCAGTTTGTGGTATGCGGGATGTGTGAGTGTGCGCACGCACCCGGCCTGCCCTTCTTCCCTGGGCCAGCAGTAGGGAATCCGGAGACCCAGGGATTGCCCTGAGGTTCTCCAGCCCCAGCGTGTGAGCAGGGACAAGAAATTCCCGACCACGCTGGAAAAGCAGAGCGGGGTGCTTCCCTTTTGGGACCGGTTGGAACACCTGGGTGTTTTCTCATAGCTTCGTCAGAACTGGCGACGCTGAATTCATTATCACCTCTCTTTTAAGTTGCAGTGGCTTCTCACCACCCAATGTGCCAGCTTACAATAGATGTCCTGCGTCCTTTTGTGATAAGAATGCCTTTTAAAATAAAGCAAAGAGTTCTGGATGTATTGCATCTGCAGCGGCAAAGGGATTATGGCTGTGAATACATTCTCCGGAGCTCAGGGTGGGTTAATGACCACTGCAGAAGGGGACCACCTCCTCCTAGTAGGGTGGGGAGGAGGCAATTTAGTGTGAGGGGGAAGAAGAGGGTCTCAGCAACTTGGATCGAAATCTGGCAGTTCTGTCTAAACCATGTCTATTTTCTTCTATCTTTGGAGGGCGTGGGGTGGGGTGTGTTTCTGGGGATGGAACCCAGGGCCTTGTGAATGCTAGGCAAGTGCTCTGCTGTTGAGCTTCATCCCCAATGACTTTCTTCTCTTTTAACACAAGTTATTTCTCATCTGTAAGACAGGGCTATTTCTGTCTACCCTGTGTCTATCTCAGTTGTGAGCCACACAAGATTATGTCTGAAAGACCGTTAGCATGGGTCCTGAAACAGGCCATGGCTAGTCACAGGCAGTGAGTGTCTTTACAAGCAAAGCCTGAGCTAGCTGCCTTCCCTCTTTCAGCTTGCAAAGCAGTGTCATGCTGGGTAATAGGTGATACCATGAAGAAGAATGTAGTTTTTCTCCCTCTCTCCTTCCCTCTTGCTCTCCCTTCCCCTTTATCTATCTAAATATCACCCCTTTCGGACTCTTATTTGAAATAAATTGCACAAAAGAGAGATCCAAGTAACAAAAGCAGACCAGAAATACAATCTCATCATCAGGAAAAAAAACAGGGGTGAGTGTGCCAACCCCAAATCTAAGTAGCCCTGACAGCCTAAAATTCCTTCCACTCAAACCAGTAATGGGTAATATTGTACTGGATTGGTATTGTGAGCTGAAAGAAAGGAGCAATTCTTCAAGGGAGTCATTCCCCCACGTTTTAGGTTATAGTGTTTGAATCTCAGATGTTCCCCTGAAGGTTCCTGGGTTATGGGCTTGGTTGACAAAGCTTATGAATACAAGATATATGGAGTTTTAATCACCTCTTCTGAGAATGTTGCGTTTCACCTATACTGCTTTAAAAAACAAGGCCCCAGAGCAGGGCTGGCCTTCCTACCAAGTCTTACTGTCCTTAGATGGCTCCTTGAAGTACCCCTCGCTCCCCCACACATATACCCAGGTGTACTGTCCCATTGGCCACTAGAGGAGGACCAGAATGTCAAACCCCTTTTCTGGTGGTGAATAAAGTGCAGTTAACTTTGCTGATGGAAGAGACAGATTAGTAAGAAAGAAGGCTTGGGCTGGAGGAGTGGCTCAAGTGGTACAGCACCTGCCCAGGAAGAGTGAAACCTTGAGTTCAAATCCCAGCACCGCCAAAAAAAAAAGCCCAAAAGTAATTGGGAGAGGCCAAAGTTCTAAGCAATAGGAGATAAGTAGTTTTAAGATAAAGACTTTAAATTGAGAGACTGAAAACAGAAATAAAAATCTCTAGAACATATGATTTGCTTGGATTTGGGTTTCAAGCTAGAGGAAGTATAATGCATGAATGTGTGCCATTTTCATGAAGGGTGATTTGAGCTAATATACTCCTTTAAATAAAATATGTGCTCAGGTTATCTAGCAGCAAATAGAATTGGAAAATATGGTGGTTTGGGATATTTGTTCATTCATTTTAAGTAATTAATTTATTTAAAAAACCACATTTCCCAGAAACAATTTCAAGAGAAACATGAAAAAAATCACTTTCTTCCAAGTCTCCAGAAGAGTTTGTCTGATGTCAAAAATAAATATTATGATCATGACAAGAAGAATTATAAACTATTGACAGATCTACTTTTATAAAGAAAGCCACTAGCCCTCCATGGAAGCATAAGGGGGCCAGATGGCAAAGGGATAAATGAAAGGAAAGATCAACTGTCAGATTGGAAAATCATCCCATTAAAATATAAATGGCTCTGCTTTGATAAGGGAGAGCAGAGATAGTGGGCCCCTTCAGAGCCTTCCAAGGACTCAGCCTATAGTCTAGGTGGTGAGGGATGGTACAAGCCAGATACCTGCCCACCCACCCACTGTTGGCCCCCTCCCCCACCTTGCAGACTGGTGTAAAACAAGATGGAAATGTTAAAGACTTCTGGAAAAGTGCTGTGGAAATGTAAGAATGTGAAAGAAACCCAGGACTCTGGGTACTGACCTCCAGGGCCCTGTGAGGATACCGGCCTTCTAGGAATTGTCACCTATTCACCATGATACTAAGGACCTGGACTTAGAAAGTGCTGGCCTGTCCTCTCCTGACCCTCACACTTTCCTTCAGTTTCCACTCTCCCATAGTTTAATTGCCTGTGACTTACTTTGTTAACGGGCAGCCATAGCAAAGTGCCACAGCCTAGGGCTTAAACTGACCTCCTTGTCTCCCAGTTCTGGAGGTGAGCACACAAGATCACAAGGTTGGTTTCTCCTGAGGTCTCTCTCTTTGGCTTCTCCCAGTGTCCTCACATGGTCTTTCCTCTGCATGCACATCCCTGATGTGTGTCCAATTTTTTTCTTCTTCTAGACTCCAGGCAGATTGGGTTTGGACCATTCTAATGGCCTCATCTTAATGTAATTACTTCTTAAAAGGCTCTAAATCCAGATAAATTCACATACTGAGGTATTGGGGGTTAGGTCGTCAAGACATGAACTTTGGGGTCCACAATTCAGCCCACCATAATGCCGCCTTTGAAGCCATCTCAGGTAGGGCGCAAGAGCTTACAATGGGTAGGACTATAAGCTTTGCCACCAGCCAGACTGTCCAAGTTCAAGTCTTCCCTCTATCACTGTTAGGTTTGTGATGTTACTTCAGCTCTCTGAAACTCACTTTGCTTGTTTGTATCCTAGACCTACTAAGGTCTTTGTGAGGACCAGTGACTGCATACAGAGAGCTAAGATCCTGTCTGGCATATGAGAATTCCTGGGTGTTATCATTTTGTTCTGCAGTCAGCTTCTGGATCTCAATCCTTCTTCATGACTTCTATGAGGTCCCAGTGTTCTTGGGCCTCTCCACACCCTGAAATGCTCCACTCTCACATATTCACTCCTCAACAATATACTGACCTGTGTATCCTTCTGGATCTGGTCCAAATAGGATAGGGACCTTGCCTTTGAATTCTGACTGTCATTTGTGGGATATCCAGGCAAGTTATTCCCAAACGTGTTATGCTTCAGATCTGAAATGTCAAAGCAAGGCAATGTGCTAAAGTCTCAGTTGCAACTGATGTAGTTATTGGATGGTAGAACCTTTAGGAAGTGGGGCTTAATCCCTGAGGAAATAGATCCTTGAGGGTGTGCCCTTGTTCCTGGATCCTGCCCTTCTCTCTGCTTCCCAGCTGTCATTAGGTAAGCAGCTTTGCTTTCCTCCACCATAGCCCTCCCACCATGATGCTTTACCACAGGCCTAAAAGCAATGGAGCCCACTGATGAACTGAAACCTCTGAAACTATGAGCCAAAATAAACCTTTTGGTTTATTTTTGGTTAATCTTGACTGTCAACTTGATTGGATTGAGAGGCACTCAGGAGATCAGTGGAAAACACTGGGTATGTCAGGGAGGGCGTTTTGGAGAGGATTAGCTAAGGGAGGAAGACCTGCCTCGAATTATGTGCAGCATAATAGGCAGGTGGCCCAGAATGAATAAAAGGGGAAAGAGGAGAAAGCTCAAGAGCAACCATTCTCTTTCCTGCTTCTTGGCCTCCATGATGTGAGCTTCTTTGTTCTGCCATGCCCTCCCCACCATGATCGCTGAAACCATGAGCCAATGTACATCTTTCTTCCTTTAGGTTGTACATGTCAGGTATTTTGCACAGCAACAGGAGGCTGACTAACACACACTGTAACCATTGTTATGACAATGGTGTGTGCAATTCAGTTCAGAAACCTGTGCAAAATGCCATGAAAGCCCACGGAAGGAAGCCAATAGTGCATCCTGAGGAGGGTGGGAAGGGAGAGGGAAAGATAGGAGAAAGTAATGGGAAAAAAGGTTTCACAGAATAAATGATGTGAACTGAGTGGTTTTTCTTTTTTTTTTTTTTTTGTGGAGCTGGGGTTTGAACTCAGGGCCTACACCTTAAGCCACTCCACCAGCCCTTTTTAGTAATGTTTTTTTCGAGATAGGGTCTTGCAAACTGTTTTACCCAGGCTGGCTTCGAACCCCGATCCTCCTGATCTCTGCCTCCTGAGTAGCACGTGAGCCAACAGGCCTGGCATGAAGTGAGTTTTAAAGAGTGAATAGAGTTCATTCCAGAGACAAGGAGGCGAAAGGCAGCTCCCTTTCTTCTCTAAGCTTCA